TTTCATCCATACGTTTTTAAATTTTAAAAGGCACTTTAAATCTTCCTTTACAATTCAAAACGTATGATAATTAGCCTTTGAATTAACGAGGAAACACAATTAAAGATAAGAGCCGCTCAGCGTTTAGAATTAAAATTTTATGAAAAAGAGTATTCTGCAGTAAAAGTAGGTAGTCTGAAATTACGTTCTATTTGACTTTCAGTCAAATTAGTATTGCATTCTTTCCTTATCATAGTTTAATAATTTTTACTTGCCTTTAAAACATGTTTTAAATCCTATAGATAGGACATACAATCGTTACGTTACGGAAATGTGTTTAGAAAGAGGAGTTTGGACCTTCTTACATTTATTATAGAAACGGAATAACATAGCAGTGATACGAACCAGTTTACCCAGGGATGAATGACGTGACATAATTTCTACGTCTTCGTTAGTGGAAGCAGAAGTACACGGATTGGAAATAATTGCAATGTTACGTTTTTCTTCTTGTGTTCGAGTAATTTCGGCAACAGGCCAAGTAGTCTCGTCTTCTTGTAAAAAGGGAGGACCGCGGAACCATATGTTAGATAAATGATCATTATGCAATATTACTTACAATCTTCACAATTAATATTAATATGAATCTATTTCAAACTACCTACATTAATTCTAGAATTGAGTTACAATATAAAAGCGCGTACACTTGACGCTCGCGGCAGTTGATTACGAACAGTGATTTTGACAAGGTTATAATAGTCAAGTCTATTGTGAAATAAGGTGATTCTAAAGGTTGTGAGTAAAGTTAAATTAATATATAGTCTTCATTGTGAAAGTGAAGTATAGTGTGTTATAAAGTATTATATACAATTTAAGAGTGAAATTAAACAACGAACATAGTAGTTAAACAGTTAACTAAGTGATTTGTCGTGGTTTTATATTAAAAAATTGGCGGGAAGCATTCCACGTGAAGCCGTGTCTGCCAGATTATCTGCAGACGAACATGCCGCCGACGACAATACAGAAAATTACTTATAATTTCTGTTATTTGATAGATGATGACCCTCGCTGTAAATATAACGGAACGCGAGTAACCCGGGTTCGATCCCTGCCGTCACCAATGAAATTGTTAATTGCAATTTTAAGTACTGATTTACCACGTGCTCGGCGGTGAAGGAAAACATCGTGAGGAAACCTGCATATCTGAGGAATAAGAAAAAAAATTTCGAAGACATGTGAAATACGCCAACTCGCATTGGGGCAGCGCGACGGACTCTTCCTTGCCCTAAAACCCTCTCAGAAATGAAGGGAGGCCGGTTAATATTTCCAATATGGACCATCGATTTCAAAGCCCATATTTTTTTTGTAGATAGTACTCACTATAAGAAAGCGTTTTGCATAGTTTTAGGTTGCGGATACTTACGGTTCATGAGAATTATTTTTTTAAACTTTTCATACAAATTGGCAAATAACACGCAATTACACCAATTACAAAATAAATTTGACAAATGATTGATGTCAAACGTCAATTAATGTAGGGTTCCGAATATTTTGAAAGTATCGATACGTACACGATACCAAGTATCGTATCAAAAGTATCAATACTACTTGGTATCGAGTACATTTCGTTAATTTTGGAGACTAGGGGGTAAGAAGCCGGGAAGTTGTGCTCCGGCGCTCCGTAGCAGCTCCGGCGCTGCGGTATGAGCAGTGCCCGCCCGCCGTAGGGAAGCGCAGGCACCGAGATCGCCGTAGCGGCTGAGGCTGGTCGCCGAAGGCGACCAAAAAGCTGAAGCTGCGAAGGCATGCATGGTTGGGATTGCACAGGGGGTATCCATCACCCCTCCCCCCTCCCACCCCTAAAACCTCATATATCGATGATCCATATTGGAAAGTTAATCTCCAAAATTAACGAAATGTACTCGATACCAAGTAGTATTGATACTTTTGATACGATACTTGGTATCGAGTAGGTATCGATACTTTCAAAATATTCGGAACCCTACACTAACTGACGTTTGACATCAATCATTTGTCAAATTTATTTTGTAATTGCGTGTTATTTACCAATTTGTATGAAAAGTTTAAAAAATATATCTCATGAACCGTAAGTTTCCGCAACCTAAAACTTTGCAAAACGCTTTCTTTTAGTGAGTACTATCTACAAAAAAATATGGGCTTTTAAATCGATGGTCCATATTGGAAATATTAGCCGGGAGGCCTGTGCCCAGCAGTGGGACGTATATAGGCTGTAACTTTCTGTTATGCGATTGGAAATAAAGGTTTTCCACTCGTGTGGAGAAGAACGCAACCACGCTAGTACCACAGATGAATCCGACCATGCGTATAACTGATCGTGAGTTATGCGATTTCCGTAAATGTTTAAAGCAGCTTTCATTAATCGAGATAATAATAGAGCTGCCATGAGCTCTAAACGAGGTATGAACATACGTTTAGTAAACGCCACACGTGTTTTAGCTTAGAAGAAAGTAAATTTCCACTGCACCCATGTCTCCCTGCACGCGAAGATAGACGAATTATTCAGTTATTTCTATAATATTTGTATATATATCTCACAAATAATGCAAAAAGAAAAAATATAAGAACTAGGGGATTTTGGATTGAAACCAAATCACTTGGCTTAATGGTGTTTTAAAAAAATAATAATTATGTTAGTAGTATAGTTGTAGCACGAATGGGTCGGCCCGACCGAGGGAGGACCACGCTCTCACAGAATACCAGCGTATAATAGCGGATTAACGTTGCTGTGTTTCGTACGGTGAGTATAGAGGCCGGAGACCCTTTTTACTGGAAACGAGGCATTCCATCGTAGGCTTTACGGGTGGACAACGCATCTGCATTTTGATTCGTAATTGAAGATAGATGTTGATGTCTATGGACCACAGCAACCACTTACCATCAGGTGGGCTGTGTGCTCGTTTGTCACTCTTATCTTATAAGAAAAAGAAATGTGTTAGAAAAACAAGTAAGACTAAACCGTAGAAAATGAAAAGCTTCAACTGGCTGTGTTGTTAGTGCATAACACACAAATCTAAATAATAGGACAATGGAAATGAATTAGCGCTCGATTACTTCCAAAACAGATGTCGTCACATCTTACTGTATTATAAATATACGCAATGCACAATGATATCTAATGTATCACATTACATTGCTTGGCGAGTTTGTCAACGTCGCGTGTATCGCGTAATACGGTAGAACAAAAGCGGCAATGGTAATTGTATAATACGAAAAGTAATAAATGAGTTTGCAAAGATAAATGTCATAGTAAAGTATTAATCTAGATGTAAACTAATTAAAACAATGATAATTAGTAAATAATCAACTTACTGATGAAATATTATGCCTTTATTAGTTTCATTACACGTCCTTGATGAGTTTTTACAACTGATTATGCTGCAGTGCACGATAATAAATTTATAACAACAAAAATTCGCGTACGACGTTCCCCGCACAACTAAATCACAAAATGGTGAATCAAGTTCGTTAACCCATATAAGTAACGACAAGGTCACACGTCAATGTGACTTCTCTTGTCTTATTATTACGATTTCTGTGGTGCATAAAATCCCTAAGTGAACTTAGGACCTTCTTGAACTGAGCCAATCATATTCTGTATTTAACCAACTAATCCTGAAAACAATTTCCAGTCAACAGTTTGGTAACTGTGACAAAAACAAATTAACTTTTCTTTTATGAAAAAAGTTAATTGCTTATAATACTTAAGGAGTGTGTAACACCGCCACGGTGTTTACAGTGTAGTGACGGTGTAAGAATAGCCTTATGATCCCGTGGATATCGTAAGAAGCGACAGGAAGAAACAAATCAGGAGCGTCTTTACAATAACGACTAAAAATAAAAAACTGCGTTTGCCAACCCGCTTGCCAAGCGTCGCAAGTATAGCAAATATCCCCCTATGAGGCAACCTATGGAAAGGCATATGTTCAGCGGTGGATTTTAATAGGCTGTAACATTAACGGTAACGTACATGTACTACGGACCACTAGCAGAGCGAGGCACGACTCGTACTAGCTCTCTTTATGTAATATATTAATATATTTTATTTATGCAATAAGGGCACTTACTTCTGAATTTTAGGGCAAACAAGAGCGCTGCAGATGTCCCCGTGCGTACAATCAAATTTTAAATGTCCTCGAAAAGGTTTAATTGAAAGTGACACGGACTGAAAAACTCTGAAAGCTTTGGATTCGCGTCTGCTGTTCGACTACTATCGTGATCCACTCCTACTATAAGCATTATAACCTTATTTTTAATAGATTTTTTTATAGGATAGGGTGACAAATGGGCACACAGTGCACCTGATGGTAAGTGGTTGCTGTGGCCCATAGACATCTACATCTTTCCTCGATTACGAATCAAAATGCAGATGCGTTGTCACCCGTGAGGACTCAGATGGAATGCCTCGTTTTCAGTAAAAAGGGTGTTCGATTCTCTACACTCACCATACGAAACACAGCAGAATCAAGCTACTATTTTACGCTGGTATTCTGTAAGAGATAACGGAAGTTATGGCAATGTTATGAAATTACTAGAACTCTTTTATAAACATCTTTTATTTCTCAGATAAAAAGACTTCGTAAATCGTCACTTAAAATTGCAATTAACAATTTCATTAAAGCTGGCTGGCTTCGAACTCTCTACTGGCGGGGCCTTGAGCTATTTCACCCCTTAAGCTATCCCGGCTATATGCTAATCTTTAGAACCAATCTCACTAGCCTCGAACACAGTCACAAGTAGCCAGCTTTTCGGTTTACTACAGGATGCATTTCGGAAAGCGTGTGCAGGAATCAGGACAATCTGACGCTCGGCCTGTCCTTTCGTTGTTGATTTACCACGGATTCAAACCAAATTATTTGCTTCATCGTTGGTCATGCGTCTTTTAATCAGATGTAGGTGTCTTCACGGCTGTGTTGCTAGGTTGTTGGCTGGGCTGTGTAATGTGCTGACGTGCAATAGTAAAAAATGTTTAAAATTGGTTTCAGATATGGATATTCGGCGACGTGTGGTGCTCTGTGTGGCTGGCAGTCGACGTCTGGATGTGCACCGCTTCGATCCTCAACCTGTGCGCGATATCCCTGGACCGATACGTGGCAGTGACACGACCAGTCAGTTACCCCAGCATCATGAGCAAGAAGCGAGCTAAGGCACTGATCGCCGGCTTGTGGGTACTTTCCTTCGTTATTTGCTTCCCACCGCTGGTCGGGTGGAAAGACAAGAAAGTGCGTATGTAATCAACAATTGCGTTTTTTTAGGAAGTAAGAATAATGTGACAAAGGAGGTCATACATCTGATGGTAAGAGGATGTTGTGGCCCATAGACATCTAAAATTATACTCGAATCAGTATCAAAATGCAGATGCGTTGTCACCCTTGAGGACTAAGTTGGAATGTATCGTTTCCAGTAACAAGTCTCCATTTCTATACACTCAATATACGAAACACATTAAGTTGCTATTTCACGTATTCTGAAAGAGTGTGGTTCTGCCCCGGTCGAGCCTAGTTCATGCTACAGCTATAACACAGCTGCAGCATGATTCTACCATTAATAAAATCTATGTATGAGTGCTGTTTTAATTGCTGAAGAGAAGATATAAATGAGCACTCGCATGATACTAGGAGGATTCTGCAGGCTGCAATAACCGTTTACTATCAGCTCGTCAGTTTATTAAAGAAAAATGTAATATTACGTATTCTTGTAAAAGGTCAACTCGTATATTCGCAAATAGATTTATAGACTTTAGGAGAGACGTAGTTATACCTTTAAAGAGAACTAGTTTTACGGATTTTATCACGTATATTAACTTATTTTATATTCCCGACGTTTCGAGCACTTTTGGCCTGTGTTCCGAAATAGAACCCAGTATACTTGCGAATGCAAATAACGTCATTAATTGACGCCATATTGTACTGGCGTACCGCCGTCATATTGTTTCGGATATCGCGCCATATCGAAACAATTATTAATTGTGTGTACGCTGAATGAAGCGTGCCAGAATTTGTTTTTATTTATTCAAATACAAAATATGGTAGAGCTTAAACAGTTGAATCTGTACGATGAAGAGAATGAAAAATCATACTTATTCTTTGTTACTGGGGAAGATTGATCAAGAGCATGTACGATGTCATATACTGGCCAATTTTTTGAAACGAATCGCCAGTATTTGCACTGGCCAGTATACTGGGTTCTATTTCTGAAAACAGGCTAGATCACCCATGGTTACGGGAAGTATCTCCCATATACGATACACGCAATAAAATCCGTACAAACTAGTTTTATTTAAATGTGTAGTGTTCGCCTAAATCATTACGTAGTTATACTATTAGTCTATTAAATTCTGCCCATGGCCCAATTATAGACGCCCGTGGTAGACGTAAAAGGTAACCATGCGTTAATGAAAAAGAATCGATGAGTAAAAGATTCTCAGAAGACTCTTAATTAACTTTTATAATTTCACCAAGGCTTAAACGGCAAGAAGCCAGATTGTGGCACCTGTGAAAAAATACGTGTATGGCATGTATCTGGTTTATAGGTATTTTAGACTTTTTCACAGCGAAAACTATTATTATGTTGTTTTAATTTTAATTTAGAAGTAAAATAGAAAAAAATACAAAGGTAGAACTTAATACAGAACCCAAGCCTCTATACATACATTTATATTTTAATTTCTATTCATTTCCTTTAATTTGACGGCTTAGTGGCGCAGTGGCTTAACAATGAGTTACAGCGGTAAGGGGCCGCGGGTTCGAATCCCGCACGGAAAAGTTTTTGTGTGGCCTACAAGTACTTGTTCCGGGTCTGAATGTTTGTCCTTGTGAAATTTATGTTTGTAAACCACGATACAGGAGAAAATCCTAATGTGGATGCAATGTTTTAATAAAAAAATAATAAAAAAATATTTTAATTAATTTATTATGGTTAATGCTTTCAAGGACAATTTTTTAAAAGCTTTTAAAAATATACTTATGAAAGTAAGATGCGTTTTTTAATGTATTTTATAAAAAGTATTATCTTTCTAGGCATTCTTAATGCTACCAATACAAACTACTTGGCAATCTGTATCATCACAACCTATATAATCCATCATCTGAATACAGCCAGAAGAAGCGGAATTAAAGGATGGGTGGTCTCCCAACCCGCCTTGCAAATGGACGTGTGAACTGACCAACGACGCTGGCTACGTGGTCTACTCTGCGCTCGGCTCCTTCTACATCCCCATGTTCGTCATGCTGTTCTTCTATTGGAGGATCTACAAGGCCGCTGTAAGGACAACCAAGGCAATCAATCAAGGGTTTAGAACAACAAAAGGTAAAAAATTAAAGTGTGTATAATAAATCTATACTGGATGATCCTTTTTACCGTCTGGAAAAAAGAGGGTGTAACAGGTCAACTGAATAGAAACCTATGGCACTGATGTTTTAATTTTTTTTTTACCTTGACATATTATGAAATTGATCTATCAGTAAATACTACTTATTTGAAATAAACTTTCGGTACTAAAAAATAAAAACAAAAATGTTGAACTAAATAAATGAATTAAAATAATACGCATCCAATTAGTAGTATTTATTGATAGTTTAATTTCATAACACGTTAATATAAAGGAAAAAAATTGTAAAATATCATTTTCCCATTTCATCCGTTAACCTGTTACACTCTATTTTTTTTCCAGACGGTAAAAAAGATCATTCAGTATATATAATTACGTACCAACCAATTTATGATCAATAGAATCAAGCATTACTTTGCGAAAATTCATTATATTAATGATGTGAAAATTAAAAAAAAAATTACTTAAGATATTCGTAATAAAATAAAATGATAAGTCTTCCAAGTTTGATGAGCACCTCCTTGCCCTTCGTCAATTGCGTGCACTGTACACCATCACCATTAATCCCAACAGAAAGCTGACCCTTATAATGATTTCTTAAATTTACGCGAACACTACGCAGTAAACAAAACTGTTTATACGGACTTATCGCGTTTAATTAACTTTTTTAATTCCCGACGTGTAAAACACTCTAAACGTCGGGAATTTAAAAAAAAACGAGTGTGCTTTTGAAAACACGACTGAAGTAAAACTTCTTTAGCTCCATCTATGTATGTAATATACAGCCTATATACGTCCCACTACTGGGTACAGGCCTCCCCTCACTTCTGAGAAGGTTTTAGGGCATGAAATTGTCCGCCGCGCTGCCCAAATGCGTGTTGACGAACTTCACATGTCTTCGAAATATTTTTTTTTCTTATTCCTCAGACATGCAGGTTTCCGCACGATGTTTTCCTTCACCGCCGAGCACGTGGTAAATCAGCACTTAAAATTGCAATATATATGATATTATATATATAATAAGGCTTCCTTCCATATTTTGTTATTATTCACCCGAAAATTCGCAAAACATGAACTTTAAAATGAATTCGCAATTTTATTCACTTTAAACGAAGAATATTTAATGTATTGAACAAAATATTAATTCATAAAATTGTTCAAAACGAAACGAATATACGATTATACAACTGGCTGTGGGAGAAAGAAAACGTGCGTGCGCACTGCTCTCTCTTGCTTATATCCCCCACTCAACTTCCGTTCGCCTCTCTCGATCACACTTTTCGTAACGCTTTCGTCACGCATTTGCCAGCTTACTCCTTACCAAGTCAAGCGTGCGTAAAGAATTTTTACTTCAATTAGTTAAAAATTTATTAATTAAACGCGATAAAATCCGTATAAAAAGTTTTATTCAAGACAGCTGACCGCCAAGATTCTCAGCGCACCGCACAGTCTATTTCACCTGAGAATGCCTCGTATCGACGGTAATGTTTTTCTCAGTGTATAGATGTTTGAATTAGTGGTGACAGGGATAGTACATGCAATTGAAGGAACGTGGGAAGTGCTCTTGGTACAAACTAGATAAGTTACCATCATTTTATCTTATTATATGGATCTCAGCTAATTCATTTTTAACATCCTTGACCAATTTATATTTTTAATATTTTGCCCTGTAGTAGCAGCGTTATGAAGTCCATAACCCAATAACAGCGCTTGGGTATCGTGATAGACGACACAGGGGAATTCTAACAGAGATGGACAGCAACATCTTTCTAATAATACTAAGTAATAAACATGTTGCGTCCAGTGTAAAATAGCAGCTTAATACTGCTGTGTTTCGTATGGTGAGTGTAGAGATCCGGTGATCCTTTTTTACTGGAAACGAGGCATTCCATATTAGTCCTCAGGGGTGACAACACGTATTCGTTTTGATTCTTAATAGAGGATAAATATCCAAATCCACTTACCATCAGGTGGACTGTGTGCTCGTTTGTCAACCTTATTATATATTTAAAAAAAATGTGTGCCAATCATGGCATATATCCCACTATGAGGCAATCTTTTGGGAGACCCATATATACTGATATTTTACTAGGTGATAAGGCTTATTTTCTATGTTATTATTTAGTCTCTAAATATAACTGTATATCAATTTTTGTATTCAGGTTTGGAGGTTAACAGTGTCAGTATATAAAATTAACACAAATGTCTATTGACTATATTTACGGGGTGTAAATCGTAAATACTTATCGTAGCCATCCATTCATGTCTTTCACAAGTCCACTGCTTAACATAAGTCTTCCAGGAATGCTATAAATATGGACCTACATTCTACGTTGGGCTATGTTGGTTACTCTGGTTCTACTGCGGATTAAACGTTACGAATCCTATTAAGTAGAGAAGCTCCGAGCATAGTTTTACCCATAACTTATTGTATACGCCATAATACTAGCTACGGTAAGCCATTGTGCCAGTGTGGATTGCGTTTAACTTACGTACATTGTACTAAAGCATTTAATTTAGGAACTGAGGCACTATCGTAAAATAGCAGATTAATTCTGCCGTATTTCGTTTTGTTTGTGACTAGAATCCAGAACTATTCAGACTTATAATATTCCATTTAACCTTTAGATATAATAACGCATCTGCATTTGATATTTCATCGAGGATATGACTGTTCCTTACTCCTTCTTCATGCGTTATCCCGGCTATCATCAGAGTTCGATTTACTGCTCATCCGTCTCCATTTTTTTCGGTCCGAAGCGTTCTCGGTAGTAATTCCATGGACTTTTACATCCGAACTTACGATCAAGCTAGTAATTTTTGGGTCTACCGCGTGATCTTACTCCTGGTATCAAGGCATTTCCATCCAACATACTCTAGTAGCTTACGTAAAACGGTTCCGTACTACCTCAACTGACTTTTCTGAAGATTCCCGCCACGTCATGTCCTCGAAAACTGGCCTATACGTACTCGTCATGAATACAGTCGCGTTTCGTTACTCAGGTCCCCACTCCATGACCCTTAAATATGTTTCAAGCGCAAAAATCTTTATGAAACAAATTAAGTTAAACAAAAACGAACAAAACACATTAAATTTATTATTCCCTTTGCTTTAGAGATTATTAAGAACAAAAGGAAGCCCGTCCCGGCGTCCCCTAAAAATATAAGTGTATCAAGCTTCACCTTAAAATAGGGTTGTGCTCAACTACCCCAATACTCGTAACATTTAACGAGGGTGACGTTACGCCTGACTTTAAGAACCATCCCTTGCCCTACATATTTAATTGTTGCTTAAGGACTTAGCTCAGCCTCGCTGTATTTCACTGCCTTACCTTCTCTTTGTCCGAGGATAATTATACGAAGGACCCGGGAGGTTATATTAGGGTTGCCAATGGTACTATGTTAAATATTCTTAGTAGAAATACAATGTTTATTAAGTCTGTTTATTTAGATGGGAGATTCAAATCTTTTGGTAAATCCAAGTGTTTTAAATACACACAAGTTTTCACAAATAACCTTATTACTATCACTTCTAACTTTCCGATAATTTTATGTCAAATGTCAATAGAAAAGTTTGGGAAATCCAAAAGTGCACAACGCAGAATGCTCACTCACGACGGCTGCCGAGCCCTCAGTGAGTCAAAGTGTATCTGTATTTAGTAAAATATATTATTATAAGACTTCTCAAACACCGAAAATTTCGGAATTTTTCAGCCGAATAAAGTTTATAGTAACTAAACAAAACAAAATTAAACAGTTATTTACATTCCATGGCTTCCTACACGATGGATGAAGAGATTAAAAAATAGATTGAGTTGAACAATTAATATTTTCATTATCATCAACTTAAAGTTATCGTGTTCTCCCCTCAATGCGGACTTATAAATCTACATCATAAGCCACTAAAACCACTTTTGAAATGTAAAAATAGCAATTATTCGATTTAAAAAAAAATAATAAGTTCAACAATCATTTATCTTACTGACAATGTGATTTATATATCATTTATGTGTTTTAATTATTATTTTTATTTTCTATTTCGTGCGACAAAACGTTGTATTCCTGATTTTGAGGCGCTAATAGAACATACCTATGCACTTAAGGCATGCAACACTTTCATTAATCCACACACTTAATAACATGTTAAAAGTTATACCTGCGGTCTAACCGTGTAGTAGCTAAAACCGTGTCGGTGTAAGAATACCCAATATCTCATAACGTCTTGTGGATATTGTAAAAGGTGACAGAGCTAAATAAACCAAGGGATAGGCAGCAGCGTCTTCCAAATCTACTATTGAACACAGACCTCCCCAGAGAAAACCATAAAGCACGGTCCTGAGTCACCCGCATCTATCAACTTCGTGCATGTCTTACTAGGTCGTCCCTCCATGTAATCTACCCTAATAACAACTAAATATAACAATTGCAGTTGCAAGCCGCCCACCATGCGAAACAACTGTGGCGAATAGAGTGGACGCTTATGAGGCAATAAACTTAATACTCACCATTGAACTTTTGGCAGGCTGTAACGGTCACTGAAAACTAAGAGTAACAATAGAACAGAAAGATTTCTTATCTGCGACTGTGGACAATACCTATATCATCTTCATTATCATTACATCCACTGCTGAACATAGAGAGACCATCCTATATTCTGCTTTCCTTAGGTTATCGTCGTTTTTAAGGCCCATTAGAGTAGAATAGAATATAATTTATATTATTTATTTTCTCATCATAAACAGGCACAGAATTATGTATGACAAACATGTTCAATATGTCAATGATTCTGTACCTATTATAAACGTATTAAATCCTAGTTTGTGAAAGACTGGTGCCTTATAAAGGTATTAAACAACACCTGTTCTATAGGCCACCAGGTCCCTCCTCACGGATTGTACATCTTTAAATTATTTATTATTACATTAACTTCAACTTTTTTCAAAAAGAAAAAATAATTACCTCTTATAGTAATTGACAGCCCTAGACCGTAGTCAGTATTAAAATGTTATATTATGGATATTATGGACTGCTTTAGATTCAAGTGGAGAGTTCCTTTCATTAAATTGGAATTTATTTGATAAATGTTCTTTAAACGCTTAGGAGAAACCATTATATTGATTCAGATGAAGTTTAATTAAAAATATATAGAACGAGGTTTATGTAAATGTTCGCCAGGGCCGAACTTAACATCGGTCGACAAAACGAACAAAATACGCTAAATAGCAACTGATATCGAAAATATATTTGTACTAGAGAAAATAGTTATACTTGCTATTTACAATATTAAACCAAGGAACTTACTCAGAGAATTTTTTAAAGAGAATATTGAATTTTTAAATATATTTCCGTTGCATTGCAAGTATTGAACAATAATGATAGGTCGATCGATAAGTTTTTGGAAATGCAGTGAAACTCTAGGATAATTAAAAGTAAATTGTATTTCTTTTTCTATATTTATTTTATAAAATCTGCCATGCTCCTACATGCAACGCTCCGTGTGATAATTCGGAGATGTTCTATATATACTGTTTATGATTCGGAATGTTGATAGCGTGATTTAGGCTTCGGTGTGTTTCGCTTGCGGCGTGACGACAGCGCCGCCACAGTGGAGCGTTCGGTTTGTGTATTATGGGTAACCATTACATATAACTTCGGTGGTTTGGTACATCGTGTTGCTATCGAATTTACGACTTGATTTAATTTTTCGGAGTATTTCTTAATTAGATCGCTAGTTGTTTTAAGCACATTGGTTGTAGGGTCTGCTTTGACATTTTTGTACGTACTTTCGTTCGATAAATGTTTTCGTATTTTAAAATTCTTTTCTTTTATCTCAGCGGAGAATCGTGAGCTCTGGTCTGTTGCGTAAGTTGTACAACGCTTTAAACCCGTCTTTGGGAAGATTTAGTTTTGGCACTGAACTTCGACGTAGCAAGGACGAAATGTCTTGACGGATAATTAAACGTGATAGAATCCGTAAAGTTAGTTTTATTCCATGTTTAGTGATCGCGTAAATATAAGAATTCATTACCGTTTGAATACTGATTTTAACAACGTACTTAATGGGTTCACAAAGTTTTTGTTACGTATTCTAATGTTTAAATATAACTGTTGGGAGTAAAATAACCTTTTTTGTGAGTTTCTTGCCGCTTCTTCTCAAAAGAAGCAATGAAATTCAGGTTTCAATTAATTTTATAATACCTTTATGTGCCCAACCACCGAAGTTGTACGGGTTACCAAAAATACACAAACCGAACGCTCCATTACGTCCAATAGTGAGTCAGATTGATTCGTCAACTTACAGATTGGCTCAACACTTAGCCAAAATATTATCACCACTCAGACGACACACAAGAGCACATACTAAGGATTCATACCATTTTGTCAGTGAGATAAAAGACCTACGTCTTACTGACAATGAAACCATGATCAGTTTTGATGTTCAGTCTGTAGTTACATGCCTACCTGTTGAAGACTGCGTCTCAATTATAACCAGGAAACTAGAGGAAAATAACATGCCAGCAGAATATGCAGTATTACTCAGACATTGCCTTACATCTGGCTATCTATTGTGGAAGGAAGAGTTTTACATGCAAGTATATGGTGTTGCGATGGGCTCACCTATATCTCCCATTGTCGCCGATATATTCATGGAAGATTTTGAGGAGAAAACCCTCCTTACTGCACCTGTTACACCAAGGATCTACTAGCGGTACGTAGACGATACTTTCACAATTTTAGCATCAGACAAAGTAACTGATTTTAGAACATCTTAATTCCATATACTCTAAAATTCAATTTACTATGGAGTTAGAGGCAAATAATTCCTTACCTTTCCTAGATGTGTTAGTCATCCGAAATCCTAACAATACCATAGGCACGGTATAGAAAAAAGACCTATACAAACCGATATTTAAACGGTGAATCTCACCACCATCCTTCACAGTTAGCTACCGCGGGCAAATCTTTGTTACAGAGTGACAGCAAACACTTGGCCGCCGAGCTTCAGCATGTCAAGCACGTTCTGCACGACAACAAGCTTCGGATCCCGCGCCTACGTCGATAGTGATCGAGTGAAGCCGGCCACAGTCGAACGTGTGCCTGCTGTACTACCATATGTCAGAGGAGTCATTGACAAGATTGGCTACATCTTGAAGCGAGCTTCTATTAGAACATTCTACAAGCCGCCGAAGAAGATTAGTCAGTTCCTACCATCCGTCAAGTGTCATATTCCTCTACAAGATGCAGGAGTGTACAAGCTTGATTGTGAATGTGGTCTCTCTTACATAGGACAAACAAAAAGATCAATTAGAACCCGCGTAAAAGAACATATAGCTGATGTGAAGCATCAACGTTCCGGGAAGTCTGCAGTTTGTGATCATATCCTAGACGGCCCCAACCATTACCAGATTTGATAGACCACAAATCCTTGCGAAAGAAGATCGATTCCTACCAAGGATGATACGTGAGGCTATTGAAATTAAAAAACATCCTAATTTCAATAGAGAAGGAAGCTGGGTATACCACCCACTTGGAACCCTATAATCAATAAAATAAAACTAAACCCAAGCATACCACTGCAAGACCTCAGAACATAGTCAGTTCATTTTGCATAGATCGGACCATAAACAATAATCAAAAAAGCTGCAGGTACCCCGGGTTTAACAATGACATCGGGACGTCAGTCACCTCAGTCCTCCGTGACCATGGGTGCTGGAAAGCACCCGAAACGTTGGGAATTTAAAATAAAAAATAATTAAAATTAAATTAAACGTGAAAATATCCGTAAAAGTAGTTTTAATCATTTTCATCAGTTTGAAGGATAAATCCTGCAAACCAATATTTAGGAGCCTAGGTTTGTTGCCACTACCATCTCTGTATATCTACGAAGTTTGTAATTTCGTACATAAACATAATAATCTGTTTACAAAGGCATGTGATATGAATAAAAGACTAAAAAGAAATGCAAATAGACTTGTATTAGATGATGTACCGCGATCAAACAAATATAGTAAAAGCTGTTTAACCATGTGTATTCGAATCTATAATAAAATACCAAATGAAATCAAATCGAATAATAATAATATATTTAAAAAAAATTATTGACTTATCTCAATGAAAATCAATTTTATGACATCAGAGACCTATTTGTTAAATGTAAATGATATATATTTTTTAATGAATTGATAATCTTTGTTTATTTATTATTTTATATGTTTTAGTCTAATTGTTTTGTATTATGATTAGAAAATTTCATTTGTATATGTACTATTTATATAAATTTGCATGCTATCACAATCACATAGCAAACATGTTGTGCTTTAAGAATTGTACCATCCTTATCTGTCCATGTTTTATGCAAATATCATAAAATAAATAAATTAATCATTGTTAATTTTATTAATAATTCTGTACGTTTTTTTAAATAGAAACAAGGGTGGAAAACGAGGACACAATCTGCTTGATAGTAAAGGGTAGAGCATTGCTGCAGCTGTATTATAGTTGTGGCACGAATGGATCGACTTGGTCGGCGAAGAACCATGCTCTCACAGAATACCAGCGTAAAATTGCAGCTTAATGCTGCTGTGTTTCGTATGGTGAATGAAGAGAACCGGAGATTATTTTTACTGGAAACTGGTGACAGCGCGTCTGAATTTTGATACTTACTCGAGGATTGATGTGGATGTCTATAGGACACAGCATCCACTTAACATCAGGTGGACTGTGTGCTCGTTTGTTACCCTTATCCTATAAAAAAGTGAATACTATGGCCTATTGACGTCGTGATGCACCTCTGAGGACTAAGATGGAGTACCTCCTTACCAATGAATAGTTTACCGTAAATAGTTTGTTTTATATATAATCAAGAAATTAGAAAAACGATCACAAAAAGTAAAAAAACTGTGCACTCCTAAAACAAAGTTGTAAACCTTTTTGTTCGTGTCCGTGTAAGTTTAGAATCTCAGCATTCATCGTATCGACCGATGGTGGAGGAGAGAAAGAGGGAAAGAATCGAAGAGTGTCTGTTTTTTTCTTTTATATCTTTAAGAGATATTTTAATGTTATGACATTTTAATTTAAATATTTAAGTGTTTAATGTTTAACCCCACGAATCGTCGATCGGCCTAAGCTCGCTGAAAGGGTTAATTGTTATGATGTACCGTGTAGTGGTGGTGTTCGAATATACACTACCCCATATCATCCCACGCGTTCCGTAAAAGGTGACGGAGGAAAAAATCAGGAGATGGGCAGCAGCGTCTTTCTAATAAAGATTAAAAAAAAACACTGTTGCCAAGCCGCTTGCCAAGCATGGCAACTGTGGCAAATATACCCGATATGAGGCAATTTATAGGAAGGGCCCTTCAGCAGTGGATTTTAATAGGCTGCAGCCGTAGCGGATGAAAACGGACTGTGAGTGTGAGAGCCACTTACATTAAGGTGAATTTGTTAGTTTTCTGAATGCTAAGGTGAATTGGTTAGTTTTTTGTTCGCATGATTGGAAACTGAAAAAGTTCTCAATCTTCAATTTAACAGTGCACTTGGTGAATTTCAGGCAAGGGTTTGGGTAGCCGGTTTGACGACAACCGCCTAACGCTTCGCATTCATCGAGGACGAGGGTCCGCAAGGCCTCACGGCTCTCCGTTGTCCACAGCATCGAACCACTCCACGAGTACATCTCTCAGTGCATCACCCGAAAGGATGAGAAGGTAGGTTGATAATTAAACATAACTTACGTTACCTACCACACTATCTGGACACTTGGGGATCTACCACTGTGCGATTCACTAGGAGCTTTCTTCCTCACATGCCTTTTTTAGAAGTGTGGGCAAACGAACATGCGACTTAACTGATGGAAAGTGTTGACCGCCGCCTAGGAACAACTGCAACATCAGAAGATTTGCAGGAGTAAGATCGTTTCTTGAAGGCTCCTAAGTCTTATCGATCGGGAAAAACCGTCGGTGGTAAACATTTCCACAAAAAAGTCGTGCGAGGTGGAAAACTCTTACTAAAACGCACAGTGATGGATCGCCGAGTACTTGGTTGGTAATGGTCGACTCTTTTCAGGTGTGCCGCATGCTCGTTTGCCCTTTCTCCTATAGAAAATTACTAAAAAATAAAGCGACCTATAATATAATGTATATACTTTCTATAACAGCCGTTAAATCTCACAGCTGAACATCTGCTCCTCCCAATGTAGGAAGGATTTGATTTTATCGTCACGCTTAGCAGATGTAGTGAAGATGGCAGTGTCAGAGTAGGGTGTATAGACTGTAACTTTAATTTAACTGCTTATAGGTGAAACAGAAAATATGATTTCCTCAAAACCAAAATTCGTTCACGGCGGCGAGGCTCAACTGAGACTAGCCAACTGCGTAAGATAAGATAGAGGGAAAAGACCGATGAGATAGTAATCCGACATGACAAACATTCCACGACAACGACCCGATTTTACATGGGTTTTAACATGTACCGTCTTTACATGCTTTCGACAGCACGCGACCCGGGATTCGAACCCGAGACATGGGAGACATTTTTTTACATAAGAGGGTGCAAACGATTATACGGCTCACCCGATGGTAAGAGATTACCGCCGCCCATGAACAACTGCAACAACAGGGAAGTTGCAGATGCGTTGCCGGTCTTTTAAAAAGGAGTAGGCTATTTTCTTGAAGGTCCCTAAGTCGTATCGATCTCAAAAAATCTCTGGTGGTAGTCGATTGCACAAGGAAGTTGTGCGAGGAAGACAACTTCATTTAAATCTTTTAAATCCAGATGGTATGTATAGTATCGCGAGTTTCGTCGTGATGTGCGATGGTGAAATTGTGCGGCTGGAATTAGTCCGAATAATTCCTCAGAGCACTCCATGGTAAATGCGATAAAATACACAAAGAAATGCAACATCTCCTCGTAGTACCAGTGAGTCAAGCCGATCGGAAAGAACTCGGTCGCCGACGATTCAAACGGCTCTGCGCTGGATGCGATCAAATGAAAGGAGCTGGCACTGGGGAGCCCCAGCCCAGAGATGGGAACAGTATTCTATGTGCGGCTGAACCTGTGCCTTGTAAAGTTGTAGGTGGTGTGCCGGCATGAAATACTGTCCCGCTGTACTGTTTTCAGATACCAATCTGCCCTTCTCTTCCAAATGACCACGAAACTGCACGTCACTCGATATGTCGACGCTGAGGATTCCGATACTGGCTGAGGCAACAAGGCACTCCGCCTTGAAACTGAGGAGATACGACCCAGGGGTTCTTTTTAGCGGTAAACGCGCAAACTTGTATCTTCTGGGGATTGAACTGGCCTAGAGTCGCCCCCAGTCCGAGACTTTGTTCCACAAAATCTCAACTTCGGACACAAGTTTGTCCCGGTACTCGGCGACGTTTTCTCGAGAAATATTGTCACGGTCGTTACTTAAAGCATCATCAATGCTATTGCACGTATTGCAATGAATGTTACCGATTCGCAACATATCATTGATATGCAGAAGAAATAGCATTGGTGAAAGCACGCAGCCTTTTGTAACACTAGCGTTAATGGGCTAGTTATCGAATCATGCACCGTCTACTACGAACTTATTTTTCTATAGAATTAGGGCGACAAACAAGCGCACAGCCAGCCCACCCGATGGCAAGTAGAGGCCGTGCCCCATACACATCCACATCTATCCTCGATTAATAATCAAGACATAGATGCGTTGTCACCCCTGAGGACTACGATCGAATGTCTCTTTTCCAGTTAAAAAGAGTCTCTGCATCTCTACACTTACAATACGTAACACAGAAGTATTAAGCTGCTATTTTACGCTGGTATTCTGTAAGAGCGTGGTCCTTTCCCATTCTTGCTACAACCATAATATAGCTGCAGCGTGATTCTACCATGTAAAACATTACACAGTATATATAAAAAAATAATTTAGGGGTTTTTATAGGCACTCAAGCGCACGTCGAGCTCACGAGAAGATCAAAATCTCGGTGTCATACCCGTCATCGGAACAGATATGTCCGGCGCACGAAAACTCTCGCTCACCAAGCCGGTCCCCAAGCCCGTCGCTATACGCGGTTCACTACGAGAGGGATGGCAGGGAGCTCACCGAAAGCAGGCTGAGGGTGAGATCAACTCATCACCTCGCGCCAACGCCGTTGTATGACGATTTTGATGATAAACCGCGCACAAGGCGGATGGGGAAGAGGAATATTAAAGCACAAGTAAGTATTTTATGCCGTGTTATAGTAGTGTTTAGAATCAATTGGTCGTAAGAGCCGACCGTGAGATTTTTTTAATTATAGCCTGTGCTTGATTATAATCCTACCTTGTGGTAAGTGTTGATGAAGCTCGAAATAATTGATAGAATCGGGCGGCATTACTTTGCGGAAATCCATTATAATAAAGATATTAATTAATTTACAACCATCCGCTAGCTAAATACAATGATGTGTCTTACCTGGATTGAAGAGCACCTCCTGCCCTCCCTCAATTGCATGCACCATTCCATCACCACTAATCCCAGCACCACTACTCCCGGCACCACTACTCCCACCACCACTATTCCAGGAAAGTCACACCATCGACGACAATACGACACGTGTTTCGCCTCTACACGAGGCATCCTCAGGTGAACCACCGGCAAATTAGTTTTATTATCACTCCTTGGCTGTGTGGACAAAGCAAACCATTTGATTCGAATGCAGGGAATATCGAGAACGAAGGAGTGGATGGTGGTGACCCGTCAACCACCTGCTTATTCTAATCGAATTCCTTGACACAATGTTAGAAATACATCCTATAGAATACAGAGTCTGGCTTTTCTACGCCTGAGCTCAAGGCTGACACCAATTAGCCTTAGTAGTTAGTAATCACACCTCTCCACTGAGCCAGAGAAATCTCAAGGCTTCGGGTAGATGGTGGTATGCTCACACCAGTCGTAAAATAAATAGACTAATAGAAAATTCTTTATTGCACTCAAAATATTTTCATACAAAGGTAACTTTAATGCCAGCTTTCTTTTGATGGTGTAGTAGGAGCTACGTAGTAAAGTAAAATAAAGATAAGTTACAGTTTGTAAACGTAGCATGTGCCACTGAGGGCGTAGGTCTCCCCTCATTTCTGAGAGGGTTTTAGGCCAAAGAAGTGTCCGCCGTGCTGCTCCATCGCGTGTTGGTGAACTTCACGTGTTCGAAATATTTTTTTCTTATTTCTTAGACCTGTAGGTTTCATCACGATCTTTTTCTTCACCGCCGAGCACGTGGTAAATCAGCACTTAAAATTGCAACTAAGAATTTCATTAGTGCCGCTGGGGATCGAACCCGGGTTGCTCGCATACTGTGAAATTTACAGCGGGCACTAACCATCTGAGCTACCACGGCTCAAAAGCTATATATAAAAAAATTAACTAGACGACGACAAGGAGCAGTGTCAAGTATTTTTTATACAAGAAAAGACCCTTTTTTACTGGAAACGAGGCATTCCATCTTTGTCCTCACGGGTGACAACGCATCTGCTTTTTGATTCTTAAGCAAGGATAAATGTAGATGTCTATGTGCGACAGCATCCACTCACCATCGGGTGGACTGTGTGCTCGTTTGTCACTCTTATTCTATAAAAAAATACAAGCAAGGGTAGCGAAAGAGCACATATCCCACTTTATGATAAATTGTTTCTGTCAACCATAGATACCAGCCATTCTAGCTTAAAAATCAAAGTGCGAATACGTTATCAACATTGTGGGCTAAGTTGGAATTACCTTACCAAAGAAAATACAGCTGTATTATGCCTTTACGTTGTTGTTTTGTGAGGTCATGGTTTTTCTCCTGTAGAGGCCACCTATTTCCGCTGCAGACCTGTATTTGCAGACAGCTACAACATGTCTCTGTCATGTTTTTTATTTTTTATTTTACAATTTTGAGGTGACTAACGTACTTACTGCCCACCTGATAATATGAGACTACTGTAATACATGACTAAAGTCCAGTCGCGGGGCAGGAAGAATTTCTTACAATGACCTCATTGCCTACTGACAGTGGTCTCAAACATTTTTATAAGTGTAGTTTATATGAAATATATGAAGGAGAAAAAAACAACGTACGTAAACGTAAACGTAAATACGTTAGTAAACAACGTTTACTAACGTATTAAGTAAATTATTGGTATTATATAAATTGTTTATTTTGATTTAAGTATAAAAACAGTTATGAAAATCGAGTTACAATTACTAATTTGGCAAAAATAAAAAAAGGAAAATTTAAAGTTCGAATCCGATTTCTCTGTATCGGAGTTACTGCTTTCCGATGACGTCCCGCCTGTCACATTTATTATAAAAGAATCAACAGTTTTGTCTAGATTAAACACAACAAATTAACAAAATCGCTTAATAATTAAATCAAGATAACTAAAATTAACAAACATCAAACTAAGAATAAATAACTAAGATAACTGTGTCCGAAAACTGAGCGGTCACTAACGCATCCCAAGATGGAATCTCGTTTGATCGTTATTTATAAATTATTAATTATATCAAGCAAGCCAAGGATTTTTGGTCGTACCTCAAGGCCAAACAAAAATCACGTGGAAATAAGAACAAACCTTAGTTTTTTTTTTTGCGCCCGAAGCAATTAAAGGGCTACCCTATACGTAGGTAGGCGGAAAATGCATTACGCATACCACGATAGCCGGTCTATCGTGGTTATGAGGAGGCTCACTGTCCTACCGGGGACCCTAAGTGATACCCTCTAAAAACCGCCTTTGGGGACAGGCAGCCGGCTGATTAAGCTTTATTGTGCCTTATCATGAGCGACCCTCTTTTGGGAAAAGAGGGCGCAGGCGGCTAAGTGCCGCTGAGGGAGTGCCTACGAAGGCAAATTAATGTTAGTTAATACAATAATTTAATTTAATTAGAGTTGCCCTGAGCCGCCAGGGAGACAGTTCAGGTCGTTTGACAGTTTATTAGGCGGGTCCGAGAGAGAGTTTCTCGGCCTGCGGACACGATAGCGAGAGGGGGGTGGGGCTGCATAAGAAGCTGCCTCACGAATTAATTGGTTTGGGTGCGACTCTGAGGCTTTGAAGAAGTTCTCAGAGAGTTTTTTAAGAAATTGTTGAATTGTTGGGAGCTCTAAGTCCCGATGAAGGTCGGCATTACGGACGTACCAAGGTGCGTTCGCAGCTCGACGACAGAAGAGGTTCTGAACTATTTGGAATTCATTTATAATATTAGGGTTTGCGTGGGCAAAGACGGGGCCCGCGTAGGACATGACTGGTCGTATACAGACCTTGTAAAGGGTACGCTTGTTTCGAAGGGACATTTTCCTGTGTCGGCCCAACATACTGTTGGGCCTGCTAAGATAAAACCGTGCGTGACGGGTTACTCTTTTGACGTGGGGCCTGAAAGTGAGCCCTGTGTCTAGAGTGACACCTAAATATTTGGCGGACGTATGCCAGGGGACAGGGGTCCCTAGCATACGTATTGGTGGAGTGTTATTGAGACGGCGTCGTTTATAATCGAAGTGAACGGCGGAACTCTTCTCCGGGTTCACATCGATGCGCCATTTTTTGAACCAAGCTCCTAGGTCATCAACTGACTTTTGGATCTTGTTCCGTATGAAGGGTAGTGAGACACCTTTGCAGTAGATGGCAGTGTCGTCTGCGAAGAGGGAGAGTTGAACACCTTTGGACGGGATGGGAATGTCGTTGGTGAACAGGATGTACAGCAGAGGAGCAAGTACTGAGCCCTGAGGGACACCAGCATTGTAGTAGATAGTTCGCTGTGAAGATAGCGTGCCTTCGTGTCTAAAACAAAAGGTACGATGTTTTAAGTAGGAGGCCACGAGACGAACTAGACGATCGGGGGAGACCTATTTTGTAGAGCTTGTAGATGAGGCCTGTGTGCCAGACTCTATCGAAAGCTTTAGCTATATCGAAAAAAACCGCGATGGTCTTATGACGACGAGGATAGAAACCGCTGAGGATATATTCCACAATGCGGTGAACTTGTTGGGGACATGAGTGTTTGGCTCGGAAACCGAATTGATGGAGAATGATAAGAGGGTCGTCGTCTGTGGGAAACAGATAGCGCCTCATACGCATTTGGATGACTCTTTCGAAGAGCTTGCCCATTGCCTTGAGGAGGCTAATGGGGCGATGACTGGAGGGGAGGTTGAGAGGCTTGCCTGGCTTGGGAATTCCAATCACAGTTGTCTCTTTCCACGTAGTGGGGAAATAACTAAGGTTGAATCAGGCGTTGAAGATAATAGATAAAAAGGTTAACACCTGCTCAGGAAAGTGTTTTAGGGCTTGGTTGGAGATGCCATCCGCGTCCGGAGCCTTTTTTGGGCTTAAGTCCTTTGATGAGGGATGAAATCTCATCATTGGACACAGAGATAGGTTCGGAGGCCGTAGGGGTGAGTTCCGGCGGCGGACCTCATCCTCCACTGCCTGGACGTGAGAGGGGTCGACGGGTTGAGAACTAGGAGAGCATTGAGCGGCAATGTTATCTGCAAAGCACTCAGCCTTTTCCTCGTCCTCGAAGGCAACCGTGCCATCGGGACGGGAGAGAGGGGAAGTGTGGGTGATAGCGTCTATGCGGAGGCCTCTAGCCATCTGATAGTACGCGTGAGATGGAGAGATATTCTCCATGAGCTTACTCTTTTCGAGGTCTCGAAATTCAGAGAGGCGGAAGCGGAGTTCTCGTTGAAGACGATTGGCCGCGCGCCTATATTCGGGGGTGGGATATTTTGCTGCTCTCCGGAAAGCAGCTTTTTTGGCTTTTAATAGGTTGCTAATATGTAGGGGAAGCCCACTATTGTTAGCAACCGGGACGACCCTTTCGTTCTCCTTAAGGGAGGATTTAATAAGGGTGGAGAGTGAATCGACCGCGGTGTCGATTTTTTCGGGACTATCTAAGTCCGACGGTAGGGAGATGGTAGAGTCCTGTGAGTCCAGAGCTTTAGCTAGGGACTCCTTGAATCCCTTCCAGTTAGTGAAGGTTTTCGTGTGTGTTGGGGGAGGTGGCTGATGGCCAAGAATGAGGGAGACCGGTCGGTGATCTGATCCTAGATCGTCTAGTGTCTCGATTGCTCTGAGGTTGAGAGAAACTCCTTGGAGTAACGCAAAATCTAACACATCGGGGGCTTGATCGGTGTTATCGGGAAAGTGAGTAACACCGAGAGGACTATGGACGGTAATATCAAGAGACTGCGTGATATCGAGCAGTATCTTGCCACTAGGGGACGTAGTGCGGCATGTCCATTCAGTATGCTTGGAGTTAAAATCTCCAAACATAATGACTGAATTGCCTAAGGATAAAATGGCCTCAAAATCTTTTTTGAGGGGATAGGTTCCTGAAGGGATGTAACAGGAGGCTATGAGGATGGACTGATGTCCAGTCATAGCTAGCCTGCATACCGTGGCTTCCATGTTGGTAAGCTGCGGAGTAGAAATGGGCGAGCAATGAAGTGTCTTCTTGTAATAGATGGCCGTTCCGCCGCCTCGGCGGTCGGGTCTGTTGTTACGAAGAAGAGAGAAGTTTTTAATAGAAAGGCCTCTAGTGTCCTTAGCTTTGAGATTAGTTTCCTGTAGGAGGAGAAAATCGACTTCACGATTCCGAAGAAAAAGCTTAAGCTCTGGGAGGTTATTTCGCAAGCCGCGATTATTAAATGATACAAGCGATAAACCCTTAGGTTTGATACGACCGTGAGATTTTGGAAGAGTAATTTGCACTGACATTGAAGTTAAGTTAATTAAGTTAACTTACAACGCTAACAAAAGATTGTTATGTTCTGCAAGAACGAGGAGACGTTCTTGGGGGGACTTCGCCGCGCGCAGTTTGCGTGCTACAACGGTGATTTCCCTAACGTCAATATTCCTAATAGCGGAATATAGTGTGTTGTAGTCGTCGGGTGTGGGCTCCGCTTCATGGGAGTAGGAGCTTATCCGCGGTGGGTCTGCCTTTTTGGGCCACCAGGGGAAAGACTGGAGGCTGCATAGGCTTAGAGAAGCCCGGAGGGGGCCGAATTATGCCCTGAGGGGGGCCTAGGGGGACCCTGAGAGGGACGAGAGAAGCCCTGGATGGGCTGAGAAAGGCCCTGACGGGGCCGTTGTTGGAGGGCCGGGAATGAGCGGTCATTTACCGGCGGTGGAACTTGCCTACTGGGGCGAGGTTGAGGTGCGCGTGGGCAACCTCTGTAGTTAGCCGGATGTCCTGTCTGTTTGCACAGGACACAAACCGGGGATTCGGCGTCTTTGGGCCGGGGACACTCTTTCGTGTTATGGGGTTCGAGGCACTTTACGCACCTGGGTGGGGCGGAGCAGTTGGCCGCCGCGTGACCATAAAGCTGGCAGCGGTGGCACTGCGCCGGGAAACCGCGCCTATGTGGGGGCTCGACCTTCACTCTCGACAGGCCACACACTGTGCGTACCTGCCGGAAGATGGCTTTGGCCTCCTCTACGTTGGATAGGATGATGAGGGCAAGGTTGAATCTCTTGCCCGTCCTACTGTGCATTTTGTGCACTGCTTCTACGGGGAAACCTTGGGACTTAAGGTCCTCAAGGATTTTCTCGTTGGAGAACTCGAAGAGGGGACGCCTCGGATGACGGCCCTGACTTTGCGCTCTTCAGGGAGAGCGTAAGTGTGGTACGAGACTCGTTCGGCTGTGAATAGTCGGGTGATTTTACGGAAATCCTCGATCGAGCTTGGGATGATTTTGATCGCCTCCCCGAGGTTGACGGCATGATCGTACTTTATACCTGCGTTGTAGCAGGTTTTTGACAACTGGGTGAATTTAGCCTTGTCTCTTAGGAAGACAGGGGGGCGGGACTTGCTTCTTAGCAAGGACTAGAGCACAACGAGAGGCTGGTTTGGCAAACCTTACAGTCTCAGGTAAAATGTTTATAATGCCTGAGGACGGCTGTCATTGCATCTGTGCGAGCGAGATGCATTATTCTTACGCGGGAGCGACAGAGACAGGTAATTACAGGTCAACGTACGAAATTCTTCCTTCTTGGCGTCTGGATTATACCTGGAAGCAACTCTATCCTTCGGGTTCTCTATTTGTTTTAATTATGTGCGAGCATCTATGCAGATCTATGAAAAGAGACCAGTATCACTGCGTCCTAAAAGATCTATTGTGATCGCTGTTACGGTTGTATATTGTTCACTGCTAAGCCCTATTGTCTTCAATGAATAGAAGGACTTGCTTAGCTGTGAGCAATTTCACGTCTTCTGGACGGAGTGTATGGTTTCTCATATGAGTGTTACGTTTGTGCATTAAGGGTCCGCAATCAGTTAGGATGTACAAAGGCGTTTATTCAGCTAGGGAAGAGAACCTTTAGGATAATTGATAGAATCAGGCGTTACTTTGCGGAAATCCATTATAATAAAAAATAAAAATATAAATTTCTTTGCAACTTTCCGCTAAACATATAAAATGTATAAAATGATGTGTCTTACCTGGATTGAAGCGCACCTCTATTTAGCGGTCAGCTGCCGTAGAGTCTATATTACCTGAGGATGCCTCGTGTAGAGGCGAAACACGTGTCGTATTATCGTCGATGGTGTGTCTTACCTGGAATAGTGGTGTTGAGAGTAGTGGTGCTTGGTCTAGTGGTGACGGAGTTAGTGTATGCAATTGAGGGAGGGCGGGAGGTGCGCTTCAATCCAGGTAAGACACATCATTTTACATTTTATATGTTTAGCGGAAAGTTGCAAAGAAATTTATATTTTTATTTTTTAGAGAACCTTTAGTTGCTCAGTCCCAGGATGGACTAGTGCTTTTTAAGACAACACTGTCTCGGGCTCTCTATACTCTTCAAACCGGAAACGATACGAGGGTAGTACCAAGCTCTACAGACTCCGAAGCAGAAACGGAGTCATATCTTATCAGCTAAAAACAATTACATATTTCTATTTGAGCTGGATTTATATTTTTTACGTGGTAGAGCCTTGCTGCAATTATATTAGTAGTATAGTTGTAGCTCGAATGGGTCATTTCGACCGGGAAAGGACCACGCTCTCACAGAATACCACCGTGAAATAGCAGCTTAATGCTGCTGTATTTCGTATGGCGAGTGTAGAGAACCGGAGACTCTTTTTACTGGAAATGAGGCATTCCATCTTAGTCCTCACGGGTGACAACGCATCTGCATTTTGATTCGTAATCGAGGATAGATGTAGATGTCTATGGGCCGCAGCAACCACTTACTATCAGGTGGACTGTGTGCTCGTTTGTCACCCTATCCTATAAAAAAAATTGTTTTACAACCAAAAAGTACATTCGGTTTCATAGCCAAAATCTTCAAATTTAATTTAACTTTCCAGGTGAAACGCTTCAGGATGGAGACGAAAGCGGCCAAGACTCTTGGAATTATTGTGGGAGGCTTCGTGTTCTGCTGGCTACCATTCTTCAGCGTGTACGTGGTTCGGGCTTTTTTGCGGGAAATGCGTCACTCCGATCGTATTCTCAGTGCTGTTCTGGCTGGGATATTGCAACTCGGCCATCAACCCGTTGATATATGCGCTGTTTTCTAAGGATTTTAGGTGAGAATGAACATTTTACATATTATGGTTTTTACATGGTAGAGCTGTAGTGAATGGATCGTCTCGTCGGAGGCAGGACCACGCTCTCACAGAATACCAGCGTAAAACAGCAGGATATTGCTGTGTTTCGTATGGTGAGTGTAGAGAACCGGAGACCTTTTTTACTGAAAACGAGGCATTCCTCTTCTTCCTCATCTTAGTCCTCAGGAGTGACAGCGCATCTGCATTTTGATTCGTAATCGAGAATAGATGTAGATGTCTATGGGCCACAGCATCTACTTACCATCAGGTGGACTGTGTGCTCGTATGTCATCATATTCTATAAAAATAAAAATAAAAAAGTAAAAATAGTCTCCAGGGGTGACAACGTATCTGCATTATAATTACGCTTATCATCAGGTGAACTGTGTGATGAGATAGAGGCTTGAAATTTTAAACATAGCTCAGAATCTGTTGACAGTGTAAGAATATGAAAAGCGACATGGAAAATTAAGATAATATTTTGTCATTGCTTGTTTACATATTGTTATATACAAGCTGCCTCGTTGATCTAGAGGTCTTTAACGCCACTGCTTAAGGTCCGGGTTTGTATCCCAGGTCGGGCCAACAAAAAATGGTTTTTGAGTTTTTCTGACAAGAAATTCCCAGTAGCAATCCTGAGATAGGAAGTTGACGATGTTTCACCCCCGTGCCTCGGCTAGCACGTAAAGCCGTAGGTCCTGCGCCTGATATCTTTCCAGTCGTGTATATTATGGTTTCATCGGTAGATTGAGGGAATAGAGTGCACTGTGCTCGCGCATACACTTGGGCACTATTTATTATAATATTTATTTATTTAATCTTTATTATACACCTTATATACTAAGGGATATAAAGGGCGGACTTAATGCCTTATGGCATTATCAGCCAGTCAACCCTGGATGATTTAAGTAGCTGTGGCAGGTGTAATCAATCACTTCATAAATAAATAATAAGTATATAAAACAAAATAAAATGCCAATGAATATATATACTATATAATATATATAATACTAATGTACATACTTACATAGATAAAAATAAATATACGAGTATAAACAGGTACTTCTATACAAAATCTATAAGTAAATAAAATATTATGAGACAAAAATAAAATAACAAAGTGAAAGAGAAAAAAAAACACAATACACTATAATCCTGTCCTGCGCCTATGGCTAGTCTACGTTGAGATTGACCGCCGTGAGCTAGGTTCGGTCTGCAGGGCGTTGTTAGTAAGTGGCGGTATGGGCGCAGGTTCGCGTTCAAGCGCATCATCTGCGCGTGCTTCTGCGCGGCGGCGGCGCGGCGCGAGTCGGACGCGGACGGGCGGCGGCCGCGCGCGCCGGACACCGAGCCCTCGCTCGACGAGCACGACGCGAACGCGCACGCAGACCTCGCCAGGTGAACTTATGGCTAAATACTCAAACACTACATCTGCGCGTGCTTCTGCGCGGCAGCGGCGCGGCGCGAGTCGGACGCGGACGGGCGGCGACCGCGCGCGCCGGACGCCGAGCCCTCGCTCGACGAGCATGACGCAAACGTGCACGCAGACCTCACCAGGTGAACTTATGGCTAAATACTCAAACACTACATCTGCGCGTGCTTCTGCCCGGCAGCGGCGCGGCGCGAGTCGGACGCGGATGGGCGGCGCCCGCGCGCGCCGGTCGCCGAGCCCTCGCTCGACGAGCACGACGCGCACGCGCACGAAGACCTCGCCAGGTGAACTTATGGCTAAATACTCTAACACTACATCTGCGCGTGCTTCCGCGCGGCGGCGGCGTGGTGCGAGTCGGACGCGGACGGGCGGCGGCCGCGCGCGCCGAACGCCGAGCCCTCGCTCGACGAGCACGACGCGCACGCGCACGAAGACCTCGCCAGGTGAACTTATGGCTAAATACTCAAACTCTACTCTATTTTTTGCCGTATAGGGGCGGTGTAAGAATATCCACTATCTCGTATCATCCCGTGGGTGTCGTAAGAGGTAATAGAGGGAAACAAATAAGGAAATAGATATGAGAGTCTTCAAAAATTGTTTCGTACCCGTTACAGCCCTCCTTTTAGAATCGACTACCACCAGAGATTTTTCCGAACCGATACGACTTGAGACCTCAAAAAAAGAGTCTACTTCTTTTTAAAGGGCCGGCAACGCACCTGCAACTCCCCTAATGTGGCAATTGTTACTGGGCGGCAGTAATTAGGTGAGCCATATGCTCGTTAGCCCCCTCTCCTTTAAAAAAAACATTTTTACTGCAAACGAGACATTCCATCTTAGTCCTCACGGGTGACAACGCATCTGCATTTTGATTCGTAATCGAGGATAGATGTAGATGTCTTTGGGCCACAGCAACCACTCACCTTCAGGTGGACTGTGTGCTCGTGTGCTATTAAAGTCCACTGCCGAATTTTAGATCTCCCTTATAGATTGTGTCATTGAGGGATATTTGAAAGAAATAAATAAAAACTATTTATTACAACAAACACCAACACACATGTTGCAAAAAATATTATAGATTTAACAACTTGTAACTACTTCGCGTAGTGTATATATTCTTTGTAACTACATAACTAAAAAAAAATATATTGGTTGCCTGTAAAGTCGGTATACGGGCGAAAGTTTTACGTGACAACGACTTTGAGTGGTAAAATAATTTTAATGTGAATATTCATTCGTATAGTAGGAAGAAGGATGAAATAATAGTAACAATTTAAAACATTTATTTATACAAAGAATTATATTTAAAACATTAATTTATACAAAGAATCTCGCACTGAATTTCATATTAACAAAATTTTATTTTTACCTTTACACATACATACGTATTTATATACAAATATACATACAATAACTTGCAATAGACGCGTGCCTTTCACTTTTTATGTCTGTCTCTCTCGCTCTTAGGCGGGCTAACCATGCCCGAGTGGAAGGGACGCGTGCCTCTCACTCGCTCTCATTGTGAGCGCATAACGTGAGCGGAGCGTAACGCAGTTTCTTGAAGTGTCACCCGGCAAACCAATTTATAAGACGTTGTCACGTCAAAAAAACTAAATCCTAAATAAAATGAAAGCAATTCAAACATAAGCGTTTTTATGAGTGCGAGTTTGGTGTAAATAGACTAAACGCAGCACATTTTAGTGGCACCAAAAAAGATTTTCAGAGCGCCCGCTACTCACATACGTCACGTCAACGATTAAGACGTCACGTCACGTACGAACACAAACCACCCAGGGGTGGTCTGTGCGTACGAACGAATGTGCAACCATCGAATACTATAATACACAATAGATTGGCTGTCAACTTTATTTTGTACGACGATTGGCGTCGCCAAACCCGATTCGATGTGTTGACAGACTGAATAAATTTACACATTTTAGGCTTTTGATTAATGTTCAAGGTCATAATAAAAAAAAATCGTTTAAATTTTAATACATATTTATTTGTAAATAAGGTGCGATTTGGCATTTTCTAAATAATTTGCATGCGAAATTTGGAAACGATTGTGACGTGAAAACACAACTCGAGTTGACATTTATACATATGAGTTGACATGTTAGCGACATTTTAGTGGCTACGCGGGCTCCGCCCACTCCCCCGTTCTATTATGTATGTATTATAGTAATCTATGTGTGCAACAACAAGTACAACTATTACTACACTGCAACTGTACTGTTTCACCTACGTAACTAAAAAGGAAGCGACTTGACATAGTTGCAACACTTAAAGAGCGGGTTTGCAACTGCAATTTTTTTGTGTTCCGCTGTTATCAGGAAGATGCTGCTGCCCATCTCCGCCTCCTCCTCTTCCTCTCCTGTTTGTTTCCCTCTGTAGCCTCTTATGACTTTTTTTGCTTCATTTTTTCATTCGGTGTATAGTAAGGAGAGGCCCACTTCAGATCCGAGGGAAGCGAAGCGCACAGCCGTGCAAGCGTTAAGCTACGCGACGAGTTAAACTACCGTTCATATCGGGCGGGTAAACGTGCGAGATGTTCGAGGCGCCCTCACACGTCTTAAGCCCAAGACGTCCGTGGGTCCAGATGGTGTACCACCGTTCATTTTAAAAGACTGCCGTATGGTGTTTGAATTGCCTCTTTTACATATTTTTAACCTGTGTCTAAAAGAAGGTTACTACCCGGACGAATGGAAAGTGTCCCGAGTGATTCCTGTGTTGAAAGGAGGATCGGGTTCAAAGGCGGATGAATATAGACCGGTAGCCGTATTGCGTGCAATCGCTAAGGTATTTGAGTCGATTATTTATAAATATGTTTATAATCAAGTGAACTCGCAGCTTACTGAAGCTCAGCATGGTTTTCGGTCAGGACGAACTACTGGGAGTAATTTATTGTCTTTTATAAAGTATGTGGTGCCAGCAGTGGATGCTGGGAGCCAGGTGGACTCCGCATATTTCGATTTTCGAAAAGCCTTCGATACCGTTGATAACAATATCTTGTTGGTAAAGCTTGCGGAGTTAGATTTTACACCTAGCTTACTAGATTTCTTGGTGAATTATCTGAGTGGACGTCAACAATACGTGGATTTCGCAGGTTTTGAATCGCAGCCGTATTGTACTTATTCTGGTGTGAGTCAAGGGAGTAATCTTGGCCCTTTGTTATTTATGTAAATGGTTAATGATCTTCCTACGGTCGCTAAAGAGGCGCAGTGTTTGCTATTTGCCGATGATCTTAAAATTTTTTTTGAAAGTAAACAATGCTTCTGACTGCCAAAGTCTGCAAAGGAACATTGACAGATTGGCACAGTGGGGAATGGAAAATAAATTAAATTTCAATGTGAATAAAGGTTGTATCATGAGTTATAGTCGTGCAAAAGACGCTCAGAAGTATGCTTATGAAATGAACGGCCTCGTAATCCCGCGCGTTACATATATTAGAGACTTAGGCGTTGAGATGGTCCCGGAACTAAATTTCCAGCTTTCACGAGCTAATAAAGAAAAAGAAAAGACAAGAAGAACAATATGTATA